GGACTTTTTGGACAAAAAACCAACAGAAACACTTGCAAACTGGTGGAGCTGCCCTTCTTCCCTAGAAAATCCCCATTTCTCCAGGCCGTGCCCTATTTCTTTCTCCAGGCTTTAGGTAACGAGGTTACGATGCAGCAGGTGCTCGGAGCAGCCTCGGCAGGTACGCGACCGGGCGCTAAACCGGAGCTCCAGATGGAATAATTAAACATCAATCTATTTATTTTCACTCTTTTAGATCCAGGACTTACAAACCCCCTGCTGAGTGAAATGTAATTAAATCACCGCTGCTGAAGTCCACTGGGAATCACCCAGCAGCTCTGCCTCGCAAACAGTTCCCAATATGCTCCAGTTATGTAAAGTCAGCTTATACTGGAGCTCCGAACCTCAATAGCAGCTGAGTAAAGGTTTGAAAGAGGATAATCTCATTACTGTTTCTTTTGTAAAACAGATTTTAAGTTGGATAACTCCAAACTGGAGATCGATAGAGTGGATTGAACAAAACACAAAATGATTCCATGATTCTCTGATCCTGTACACCTTCAGATGCCATGGAATCCCAGACTGGTTTGGGTTGGAAGGGACCTCAAAGCTCATCCAGTTCCAACCCCCCTGCCAGCAGCAGGGACACCTTCCACTAGACCAGGTTGCTCAAAGCCTCATCCAGCCTGGCCTTCAACACTTCCAGGGAGGAGCAGCCACAGCTTCTCTGGCCAACCTGGGACACTGTCTCACCACCCTCACAGCAAAGAATTTCTTCCTCACATCTCAGCTCCATCTCCCCTCTGCCACTTTCAGGCCATCACCCCTTGTTCTGTCACTCCCTGCCCTTGGCCAAAGTCCCTCCCCAGCCTTCCTGGAGCCCCTTCAGGTACTGGGAGGCCACTAGAAGGTCTCCCCGGAGCCTTCTCTTCTCCAGACAAGGCTGGTGGTGGGACTGATGATTTTGTCTCTTTTTAGTTTGTGAGTCAGAGACAAGTGAGAGTTGCAGCCATGGCCACAGCTGCTGGGGGACAAGAGAATCTCTGTCATCTTCACCCTCGGATCCAGCAGCTCTCGTTTGATGTTACCACATGCAGAGGACCGAGGGACCCCCGGCTCTCCTCCAGCACAAGATCTCACCAGCCATGTTTTGTCTTAGGTGGTGAACTCAAAAACTCGTTGGAACTTTGGTTTAACCAAGAGTGGATCGTTGTGGCTGTGAGTGCTGGGGGACACCCCAGATCCTGCTGTGAGAGCAGTGGGGTGAGTTGGGCTCTTGGGGTGTCTTTGCTTTGGCTCAGGGCACATGAAGGCTTGTTCCCTAGAAATTGGAGCAGTGCCCTCCCCGACCGAGTGGTCATTTCTTTAAAGAATGACTTAATTCTCCTGGGAAACATCCCTGGAGACATCCCTGTCCCAGAACCCCCTGTCCTGGCTGCCAAGGACACAACATCCCAAGTTCTGCAGAACTTTGGACACTCCTGATGCAGATCCACAGAGTTTTACGTGGTTTGGTGCTGCTGTCTGAAATCAAGGGAACCCTTGGAGAAATCCTGCAGCTCCAGACGGCCGCAGCAGCCCGGTTCATGGGGTAGGTTGCCAGGAACTCAGAGGGAAAACAGTATTATTGGGTGATGACCTAGTTGTTAGTAAATCTCTCTGCAGAAGAGATTTAGTAATCTTAGGAGGACTATTAAAGTAATGCTGCTTATGTTTGTTTGAAGATGAGGAAACACAGCAATTTAATTTTCAAATGTTATGGTTTGAGGCTTGGTTTTTTTTAAAAAAAAATAATTAAAAAAATCTAATTTATTAACAGAGCTAACCATCTGGGAAAATAAGCACAGAAACTTCCCTAAGGAGGTCATCGTGTAGGATGGGAAGGGACTCCAGAGAAACTCAAACCTCTCCAGTGGCTAAAGGGGTCTTGGGCTAAAGGGGTCTTGTGGCTGGTGGGTGGGGAAGGGAAGACTGAGCAAAGTTGTGGCCAGGGCAGTTGAGATGGGATGTGAGGAAGAATTTCTTTGCTGAAAGGGTTCTGAGGCATTGGAAGGGGTTGCCCAGGGCAGTGGTGGAGTCCCCATCCCTGGAGGGATTGAAGAGTCGTGTAGACACAGTGCTGAGGGACATGGGTTAGTCATAGGGGACTGGTCAGTGTTGGGTTCATGGTTGGACTCCATGAGCTTCAGGGGCTTTTCCAATCCAGGCAGTTCTGGGATGCTGTGAAGCCAAGTGTGCTCAGTGCCCCGGGAGCGCGGATCTGTGCATTGCTCCCAGCTGAAAACCCTGAGGATGCCACACGGGGGGTCCCTCCTGCTGGGCATCCGCAACCCTCAGCCAGCACAAAGCCCCACGGGTGCCCAAGCTGCTGTTGGAGGGGAGCTGGGGGCTGTGTGGCAGCGTTTGGTGACATCTCACATCTGCTGTGGCTGCACTTCACCAGCACAGGCTGTACTGGCCTGACACAGGATCACAGAATTGCTGTACTGGGACACGTCCCAGGAGTGAACTTCCAACCCAGGGCTGATCTCTGCCAAGTGACAGAAAACTTCTGGAAATCTGGTTCCTGCTCAGCCACCTAGAATCACAGAATCACAGAATCCCAGACTGGTTTGGGTTGGGAGGGACCTGAAAGCTCATCCAGTCCCAACCCCCCTGCCAGCAGCAGGGACACCTTCCACTAGACCAGGTTGCTCAAAGCCTCATCCAGCCTGGCCTTCAACACTTCCAGGGAGGAGCAGCCACAGCTTCCTTGGGCAACCTGAAATGTCAGCATTTGCCAAAACGAGGACTGGCTGCAGAATAACACTGTTCCCAGCTATGGGCAGACACGGGCACCGGCTGGGACACCA